CTCTACACAACTATCTTCGACGGGGGGCCAAAATACATCCCTTCCCGGAACAGTGAGTAACTTAGAGCAAGTTCTTCTTGGATGACGGAGTCGTGCCACGTAGATCGCAAATTGAGTAGTATTTAATATAGTCCTATCCTTTTAACTCCTTTACTCTATCCTTGCCTGAAGCTCTGATTCCTTGCGTCGACTGGTCTGATCCTTGTATTAATTGGTCCGGAGTGGCGGAACCCCGAGGGGCCGAGATCGACCAATGAGGGACCCAGGTCTACCAGCGAGGGACCGGGTCGATATTGAGGGACCCAGGTCTACCAACGAGGGACCGGGTCGACCAATGAGGGACCCAGTTCTACCAACGAGGGAGCCAGGTCTACCGATGAGGGACCGGGTCTACCGACGAGGGACCGGGTCGACCAATGAGGGACCCAGTTCTACCGATGAGGGACCTGTTCGACCAATGATGGACCGGGTCGACCAATGAGGGCCATGGTCGACTCCCTTCGGTACCGGTTAAACAGTACCCTGGTAATGAATGACCTCTCCTTTGTTTGTCTTTTAAATTCTCAGCCAACGGTCGCTTCACTCCGAGGTTCCCTTTATCTCCGGTCCCTTCTCTCTGGTGCGTGGTCCCTTCTCCCTAGTCCACGGCCCCTTGTCCCTTCAATCCAACTGGCTCCTGAATTCTTCACAATTTAGGAAACCACTTCACCACAGCCGCCCCTTGCACGTGCTCAGCCGTACAGCGGCTTGAGCACGCGCATGCATTCCCTCGTCAATCACGTAGGGTGTACTGCTTGCTCTTTCTTAGGTAGTCTGTGGCCAACCTGGGTCACTCCCACTGTGGTTTCAATCTTCGATACATTGAGCTTCATTCTTGAAGGACCCAGGTCTACTGATGAGGGACCCAGGTCTACCAACGAGGGGCCGAGGTCGACCGACGAGGGAGCCAGGTCTACCGATGAGGGACCGGGTCTACCGACGAGGGACCGGGTCGACCAATGAGGGACCCAGTTCTACCGACGGTCAAGGTCGACCGACGAGGGACCCAGGTCTACCAATGAGGGACCGGGTCTATCGACGAGGGGCCGAGGTCGACCGACGAGGGACCCAGGTCTACCGATGAGGGACCTGTTCGACCAATGATGGACCGGGTCGACCAATGAGGGCCATGGTCGACTCCTTTCGGTACCGGTTAAACAGTACCCTGGTAATGAATGACCTCTCCTTTGTTTGTCTTTTAAATTCTCAGCCAACGGTCGCTTCACTCCGAGGTTCCCTTTATCTCCGGTCCCTTCTCTCTGGTGCGTGGTCCCTTCTCCCTAGTCCACGGCCCCTTGTCCCTTCAATCCAACTGGCTCCTGAGATTCTTCACAATTTAGGAAACCACTTCACCACAGCCGCCCCTTGCACGTGCTCAGCCGTACAGCGGCTTGAGCACGCGCATGCATTCCCTCGTCAATCACGTAGGGTGTACTGCTTGCTCTTTCTTAGGTAGTCTGTGGCCAACCTGGGTCACTCCCACTGTGGTTTCAATCTTCGATACATTGAGCTTCATTCTTGAAGGACCCAGGTCTACTGATGAGGGACCCAGGTCTACCAACGAGGGGCCGAGGTCGACCGACAAGGGAGCCAGGTCTACCGATGAGGGACCGGGTCTACCGACGAGGGGTCGAGGTCGACCGATGAGGGATCCAGGTCTACCAATGAGGGACCGGGTCTATCGACGACGGGCCGAGGTCGACCGACGAGGGACCCAGGTCTACCGATGAGGGACCGGGTCTACCGACGAGGGGTCGAGGTCGACTGATGAGGGATCCAGGTCTACCAATGAGGGACTGGGTCTATCGACGAGGGGCCGAGGTCGACCGGCGAGGGACCCAGGTCTACCGATGAGGGACCTGTTCGACCAATGATGGACCGGGTCGACCAATGAGGGCCATGGTCGACTCCCTTCGGTACCGGTTAAACAGTACCCTGGTAATGAATGACCTCTCCTTTGTTTGTCTTTTAAATTCTCAGCCAACGGTCGCTTCACTCCGAGGTTCCCTTTATCTCCGGTCCCTTCTCTCTGGTGCGTGGTCCCTTCTCCCTAGTCCACGGCCCCTTGTCCCTTCAATCCAACTGGCTCCTGAATTCTTCACAGTTTAGGAAACCACTTCACAACATGTGCGTACGTGTGAAACGTGTCAACGGGTAAAACCCTCGCCCCATTCGGCAGCGCCGCTGGCTTGTTTGTCTATTCCCACTGGATGTTGAGAGTCCATAGTATGGACTTTGGATTTGGCCTACCGAAAGATTCGCATGGCAATACAGGTATTGTGGTCTTTGTTGACCGTTTGAGCAAGATTGATCACCTAGCGGCTGTGCCAGACTCGATCGATGGTGAAGGTATAGCGAGGCTGTTTATCGATCGAGTATTTCGCCAACATGGCTTGCCAGTGGCAATTGTTTCTGATCGTGATCCTCGTTTCACGAGTAAAGTTTGGAAGTCCGTCTTCCAGGTGCTGGGCACCCGTTTGGACATGTCCACAGCGGATCATCCGCAGACCGATGGTCAAACCGAACGCGTGAATCGCGTTGTTGAAGATATCCTACGCAGCGTTTGTGCTCAAACGCCTAAGTGTTGGAGCGCTATGCTCTCTGTAGTTGAGTTTGCTCTCAATAATTCCGTACACGCCTCTACCGGCTACACTCCGTTCTATTTCAATGGTCTCACACACCCACGCGTTCCGTTAACGCTACCACCGAGTGGTTCAGGGCTTGGTGGGGGAGAGGTTGCCGATCGACTTGCTGATGTCAGCCCTAATACTGTTAGGAAACAGGTGAATACGTTTCTCGCAACGTGACTAAATGTCTTACGAAATGTGCATGACGCAATGGCTGATAGCCAAGACAAACAAAAAGAATATGCGGATGCTAAAGGCAGAAGTTGTATTGATGATTATGAGGTCGGAGACCAAGTATTACGTAAGGCTAAAAACCTACCTACCTACCAATGTAGTATCTGCTGTCTTTAAGACGAAGTTGCGTCCGCGATTTATCGGACCCTTAACGGTCATTGCCAAGAAAGGCAAAGCGTATACGCTTAATTTGCCGCGCAAATTGCGTACACATCCTGTATTCTACGTAGGCTTCATGTTATGTGCCGTGAACAAACCGTAAGGGTTTAATGTTCGCTAAAGCACTACCTCCAAGAGGAAAGATGTCGAATGACATTCTATGGGAACGTCAGTCGGGTGGGGGGGAGTGTAACGGGGTTACACGACGGTTGTAGCGTCTTTCCGAGGGTTTACAGTTGGAGTGACCTTTATTGCATACAATGCATTATAAAACTTTTCTTTTAGAGAGGTATTAGGTATAAGCATTAAAGATACGGTATTCGGTAATACCGTATCTTATCGATTAGGATTCGATAATCGATATCGCTGTACTAAGTACATCATACACAGATGTTTAGACGATACGTCGTCCAATAGCAGAGTCTGCATATAACAATTACTATTATAGTAATTAATCTAGTGTAGGTTACTTAGAGTAGGACTATTCATAAAATCTTAAAGCATAAATAAAATCAGTTCTCCTTTTGAGTTTAAGATCGCAAGTCGTTCTGACTTGTACTTTTGTGCACTTTGTGCATTGGTTCTCTGAACCTTTAAGCTTCTAGCTTGTTCTTGCACTCTTTGCGTTGATTTTCTGAACCTTAAGCTTATTTCTTGCTGACTAAAAGTATCTCCTACTTCCTTAGAAGAGGGTGACTTTAAAGTCGTTTAATTAGTTCCTTAGAACTAAGCGGCTTTTAGCCTTAACTATATTTAGTTCCCTAGAACTAAGAGGCTTCCAGACGAAAGTCTTCCTCTGGCTAAAGAGCTATGCAGCTCCGCTACAATTAACGTCTGTGGCCTTAGCGGGTCCCGTGGCAGTATTAGTTTTTCCTTTAATATTGTCACTGCACTCCTCGAATTAGGACATGCCCTCTAACTGGTAGATACAGCCCATTATATCAGTTAGGGCACTGACCAATGACCGATGGACCCGCGCAATTAATGGAGGGAACAAAGGTAATATACAAGACTGCACTTTTATATATTTACAAGAAGATAAAGCAAATTAACATTTATTAGATAGCTTAACTATATAAAATTCAGTTCTATTTTTTCTTTTCAACCCCTTTGTTAATATGACTTTATCTGGTCACGTGTATGTGAAGTTCTGAGGCACCTGCTTTCACTGTCATCAGTGAAGGTAGATTATTCTCTGAGAGTGGAATCAGAGGGTGCCCCACTACAGATACTGCCCAATGCATACTTATGTAAGTTATGTATTGTTTGTATAACTACTTATGTTATAGGTTGCCTCATTACAATATATTTTTTTGTTTAATGTAAACATATACAAATAAATGCAAAGATAGGATGCACGTCTCTTTTAGATGCGCACCCTACGTAGCTTAAATACATTTAAGCTTGCTAATCGACTTTTATTTGTGACGTCAGTCTTTGCCGCCTCAATTTGGCGTCGATCCCTTTTTTGTGAATACACCTAGTTTATCATGTTCACAAAGGAGGGTCACATCACCCAAGTAAGTATACACGTACTAATGACCTCCCCGTTAAGTTCCCGTAAAAAAGGTAACGGGTACGTGGTACCCTAACTCGTTTACTTTACAAATGTTTTTAGCTATTTTCTGTAAGCTTTTTATTCTAGCGCAGGTGGAGCCGTTCACTGTAAACAGTATTGTTACATCATCTTACGTTTGAGCGTCCTCCATCTTCAACCCCGAGCACGAGAATTGTCCCAATACCGGACCAGTAATAGCCAGACTGCACGGATAGAACCGGTACATGTAACAGATCCGATCTCAAGATTCTTGCTTACAAAAGTATGCAATGCTGGGCACAACACGTGCCAAGAGTGTTTTCATTATCCAAAAAGCATTCCAGTCAACAAGTTTTCCAGACAACAAGCTTTCTAGACAACAAGTTTTCCGGACGATAGTAACAATGAAGCTTTACTATGCCATCTCACTGATGGCAGTGTTTGCTCAAGCCTCAGCTGCTCGACGTCCATCGTTTTACAGCGATTTAAGTGAATGGAAGGACTGCTCCGAGTTCTACTCGACATCGAGCGCAAACCCAACTAACACAAAGGCTGAATGCGCTGTCTACAGTGCGCCGCTTTGTTATCGTGGAATTTGTAAGACACCAAAGCATGTGAAACCGACAGTCGACATTTTGGTGAAGCGGATCCCTGCTGAAGGCAACCCAGACAGTGCAACGAATCTCTGGATGCTGTCAGGTGTTGACGGTGCTTCTTATGGTGATAGTAAGGCATACTTTGTTTTGTTAATATAGTCTCTGCATCTACTAACCTTTTTATGCAGTGGATTTTTTTCTATTAGAGGTACATTCACGATTGAGTGGAAAGGTGAATGTTTATACGATGGACCAACGTGGAACCGGTCGCAGTACATTGCTGGATTGCATCGAAATGCCTACGATTACCACCGCGTATTCATCGAGCAGCAACTTTAATGTATCGCAAGTCCCTGCGTGTGCTCATGCTTTGGAAAAGAAATACGGACCCCTTTCTTCATTTTCGATCACGAGCGCTGCAACGGATGTGGTAACTTTCATTTCCGACTTTTCGAATGGTATGAATACCATTGTGTGCGGCATAAGCTATGGTACCATGGTTGTAGAACGGTTAATTCATCTCAACCCCCGTGAAGTGACGGGGTACGTTCTGGATAGTGTTTTCACGACTTCTGGAGCACCACGAGACAAAACCTTGTACGTTTCAGCTTCGTACACTAATTATGGAAAGGTGGGTGATACCTTCATGGCATTATGCGAGACGGAAAGCAAATGCAGCAAGCATTTTGTGCCAAACAATCTGCAAGCCACGCTTCAAGATTTAATCACAAAGTTTGATGAAAATCCGAAGTCGACGTGTGCTGCTCTTATGAGCAAATTGAATAGCGACCAGAGTAGCCATCCAGCCTCTTATGTGTTGCGTCAGATTCTGGGAAATTTGCTCCTAGACGCTAGTATACGCACGTTTATACCCCCTCTGGTATATAGACTGAATCGTTGCGAGGCCAAGGATGTCGACGTGTTGACACATTTCATTGAGCTTATTGTAGAAATCAATGCCCAAGGGGACAACGACGACTCGTCGTATGTTCTACTTTACTACCTCATCACTTTTTCTGAGATGTGGGAAAGACCGCCGCCATCTATTAAAGAAATGAACCTGCGGTACACGAATGCGCGAATGACGAACACTTGCGACGGTGGTCGTTTCGATGTGCCGCTCTACTGTGCTTTCTCGAAAGAAGAATCAGCGGTGTGCGACAAACTTGATGTCGGAAACTACGTTGGCAATGGCATTGTCTACGCAGTTGACAAGTATTGGAATACTAGTGCTAAGATTCCTCCTCAAGCTAGTGTTCTTTTGCTGAATAGTAAACTGGATGCGCAGGCGCCGCAAAAATTTGCTAAACATTTGCTTAAATTACTAGACGGTGACAAGAAGGAGTTGATCACGTTTGAGGATTCTGTTCATATCGCCATGATTTCCACTCACTTAGGCCAAGGTAGTAAAACGTGCGGCATGAAGCTACTGGTATCATACGTGACCAATGACGGCGATTTGGAGCGTCTTGACAAGTCTTGCGTCGATGAGATGCCCGCGTTCAGTATGACTCCACTGCTTGACCATCAGCACTACTTTCTGAGCACATAGGATGCCTATGATGGAGTGTACAATGAAAGGCTATATGCAAGTGTTACCGGTCCAACTTCAAGCACAAGCTCAGCAGGACAGGTGCTTCAGCGTGATGAGCACCAAGACTAACTACTTCGTTCTTTACTCAGAGACAAGTAGGCGAGAAGACGATTGCAATGCGAAGGCAACGAGGAAAGCTGATGTTCTGCTTCACATAGACAGGAATTCCTGATGTCTGATAGTAAAAAAACTTGTCAACAACAAAAAATTTTTTTGCTTGTCCACTTAATGATGCTGTCGTAAATGCTTTACTTATCTTACAGATAGCATGCGTATGGACATAAATTCTGGCTTCTGTTAACCGATTCCATAAGGTAGATCAAACTGTCACAGTAGCAATCAATAAAAGAAGCACAGTAATCTCACCTCCTGCTGAAGTTGTTATGCTTCAAGTGTCTGGCCGAGTAATAGAATTGTTGTCCGAAGCGGAGTAAATGATTGCTAAAGCACGAGTCATCGAAACTAACGCGATACGCAAGCTTCTCCCCGCGCTGACCGTATTTCGACGGATCTCATCATGCTGTGTATCAACTTCGTCGCTTTCTGTGCAAAGTCGACTACGGCTGGGTCACGAAACAGACTACTGCTGTTTAAAAAGTAGATTGTTGTGGTGATACTTGGACGTGGTGTAATTGACATATCGTTTCAGTGTCCGAGGACAACTTCAATGTACTTATCTACAAGTTTTATGGGTTTAGTCCAAATTCGTGCATTAGTATCATGTTTCACTTTTGCTACGTTACGCTGCTGAACGCACAACATGCTGTAAACGAAAAGATCGCGTCACACGTTACAGCTATAATGTAGGCCAATAGTTACGACAGATCAGGGAGACGCTGATTTCCTTTCTGTTGCTGCACTGTCAGGTGCTCGTAGACACAATTAGATCTACATTGAAAGGACAGATAGCTGAGATGAGACTGCTCGTAGTGTAGCTTGCGGCCTTAGCAGTGCTGCGAGCTTTGCTGGCCCTTACTCATGCTATATTATCAGTAGACCTATGACCAAGCTCGAAGACTTGAGACATTTAGGATCGGTATTTAGTGATATATGAACACAGAGAGCAACTTAAAACAAGAGATTTAATGAAAATGTAAAGTAGCTCTTACATTCATGGAATTGCTATTTCCACCATATTTCCACCACACCATTACGTTGTTTTAACAACATAACATTTTGCACCTCACCTCACAACACTACTGTACGCCACCAGACCACATCGCATCATACCAAATCTAAACACTTTGCTATAGAAAATGAGCTTATTAGATTAGCCGTGACTTTGAATTGTGAGCGGGTGTGACGAAGTCACATATACATTAATCAGCTCTTCGCTTGCACTACACAGCTCCTAGAGCTTTTGTAAAAAAAATTGGGCGGCGCTACAACCAGCAAAATGCGGAAAAACGATTTCGATAGCTGACATCTTATTCTAAGTTTATGACGACATCCTTATCTGTGCTGGCATCAACGCAATTGGACTTCACGGGCTACAATTTCTTCGATCCGACCTTTTTGTTTGGTTGCCGAATCTGGGGTGATGCTCTACTAATTTGCGTAAAGCGTTCATAGCTGCGTATTGATATATCGTCTAAAGTAAACGTGTCTTCCTTCACCTGCGGCATGGCTAACATTTACGACAGCATCGACAATGCATACAGCCGCGGGAGAGAACGCTGAAAAAGTTGGTGGTACCTACCCGTTATTAGCGGCTCCACCGTTGCACCTCCGCTTACACCAACAACCAACAATGGCAATTTAAACCAAAAAAAGCGCTCATCCACGCTCATTTATTGCTTCTGCTGTATATTAATGTGGTAAAGTGGAATCTGCAAATTTGCTGATGCGTTTCCGACTCTCCACTGGCGCCCGGACGACCGACTAACGGAGGGGGTACCTCAATTTCGCTTATAAAGCCTTTCTCACCTTGTGTACCCGTCGGTTGGGCGGGTTGCTCTTTTCTTGGTGGACTTGAGTCGATGTTGAACTTGATTGTGTTAGGGATAGGGGGGGGGGCGATCGAGTGGAAGTCCTCACACGATCGCAGTTGTTCTTGGGGGGGGGGTGATCTACTTGAGTCGCCCTGATCTCCCTTGAGATCGCCTTGTCCAACTGGTTGATACTTGATCCGCTTGACTTCTGACCACTTGAGTCGTCTCGCGATCTTGTATCTGGACTTCTTAGTCCTCTGCGTCCAATCGCAGATTGGGAAGGAGGTGTCTTGAGAGCCCTTGACGCACCTGGCCAAGAAATCCAGGGCGTGAACTTGTGAGGGGGCGAGCTTATCAAGACGTCGGGTGGCCAAACAAATACAACCCGAAGGAGAAGCTGTCACGTGTTCCTTTTGATGTAAACCGAACTTTCTTTAATTTTAACCAATCAACTACCAAACCTATGATCTTGCCTACCTGTATTCCAGGATCTTTTGCCACGTATCAACCTTTTAACAAAAATCAGATCTTGTCATGTGACCCACTCCAATACCGCCGCGATCTGGATCGATGCCTCGATCAAATCTAATACGATATTCGTATCGGATCGCGGTACTTATTTTAGTATCGGATCGCGGTCCGCTGGATCACGGCTTGTCAGTTTCACCCTCGCAGTTTACTAGATCATGTAATATGGTCCATCTACACGTTATGTCATGCCCACCTCAGTTCAGTCTTTTAGAGTGATGTAGTTTACACTAGACCGTGTTCCACATACTTGAACATACTAATTCTCCATCTTAGCTATCGCGCTCTCGCGGATTGCCATTCGAAATATACTGGGATCACAGTTGCGTAGTTCTAGGCCATAGTTAATTCAATATAGAACGGTGAGCACCACCATTCACTTTTTCCATTCCATTTTGCAACGTCTCGAAAACTTCTTCTGCTGGATCGCTATTCATCAATATTGACCTTTCGGACTTAACCGAAAATATGCGATCTCACGTTGCAAAATTCATTTTTTTAGCTTTGCCACAATCGTCCCCCGCACCGTTAGCCAACATAAAGTGTTGGCCTAGCTGTACACCGTCTTGTTTCATCTTTCTTGTCGCTTCGTTCCCTATGGCCAAATCTCCACCCGAATACAATCTCCACACTCAAAGTAGTGTACTTGCCACGCGTGATCCACCAATGAATTATTCTAACGGATTGCGTATCTTGCTCCCGTCTACCCGAATAATCCTTCCTCCTGTTACGGATCGTCAAACCTTAGATTCGTAGATTTCTTTACTGTATGACCGCCTGAAAGCCCAAGATACTATTGTAAAAAGCTATCGCTCCATGTAATATGCCTTGCAGGAGCAAATATTCCAAGACGATCAGTTGGAAGCGAAGCTCAATTCGTATAACGAGTTGGTACCTCAGCTGTGCACATTTGTCTTGCGTTGAGGTGAAAGGTTACTCTGACAGCTTAACGCCACAATTAATATAGACGAAGATCAGACGAAACACATTAGCGACTTCTAGACAAGAAGGAAGACGCGGGAAAGCTGGTAGGAAGAGAAAGTAAACCAGTGGTCAACCTCTACAAATGCGATTGAAGAGAATATCGATCCTGGATGGCCAGATCGCACTCCGCCTCTCGATCTATATTTTGGTGCGAAGCCAGCTCAGTGCTGCGTCTTTTTAAAAACTCGCACTCAAAGAAGATCATGAGTAAGCTCAAGTACGTTCAGCGTGTCTTGTAGGTGTTTCGCGGTTTTCTGGACCTGAGCGCTAGCATTCTTGTATTCGAACGCCTTGCTATTAATGCCTTAAAATTCAGTAGCCAAAGTACTACCTGCATCGTTGTGTTGTGCGATGGCGGAATCCAGTTGTTGCTATAGAGACGTTATCTGCTGTTATAATTTTTTCTACAGTCCGCTTAAGATTGGCCATCTCACGCTGAATTTTATCCTGCATGCGGTGTTTTTCTGCATTTGCTCGGAACAAGGCAGTCTTCAAATCCGCGATTTTTTTTAGACTAGCCCGTTATCTGGCTCAATTCTAGGTCGAGCGTCCGCAGGTTCTGATCTCTCCATGCAAAGGTTCCCGCAGCACATCGAATAATTCTATTTAACTTGCAAAAGCGGTGCAATCCAATACTCTGGTGCGATCTAATACTTCGGCGCGATCTAATACTTAGGGTTATCTGATACTCCGGTGCGATCTGCCAAGTCGGTGCGATCCAATATTACAACGCGATCCAATGTCCGTCGAAAGCATAAAGGAAACGCAAAGCTTGGCCCTCGCCTCCGCCTGACTTTGAGTACGATGAATGGTCTTCGGATACTGAAGACGCTACGCTTGCCGCCCTCTCCGGATCTCGTTTCACTGCTAGCCCCCGCGTCATGCACCTGTGACGAAAGTCTCTGTCAACACCGGATCATCTCAGTCTCCTGTCATAATTCACAGTGGTAGCCCACCATCCAGGTCACCGCCAGTCTTGAGTTCCGACAAATTTCCCAGCCTTCCGGCCAGAATTTATAAGGTCTACCTTGTTGGCGAACCTTCCAGCGACTCGGACACGAAAATTAGCGTTTCCAGTGACATTCGTGAGGGCATGAATTTTTTGCTTACCCCCGCTCAATATGTTGATCTACTTAACCTCCAAGGAGCTCGTGATTTGTGGATCCCAGGATATCGTGAGCGAAAACCTCGATCGTCGTATCAGGTTGCTCCGTGGTCTTCGCGACGAGCCAGTCTGACCAGTGTTGCGGAATTGGGAGTATAATTCTTTTATCGACACTTTTCCCGACCGAAAAGGTATCCCTTCATCCCTTAAGCTAATCTCAAGTCTCTTCCTGACTCTGAGTGGATCCCACGACTGATTGCTCCAGCACAAAATACTGCACTTTATGATCAGGAACCGTGAAACGTCACTCGTCGACCAGTCCCATCTCTTTCCCGCTGACAGATTGTTTAATAATTTGGCAGCTCTTTATCTTGGATATGAGGAGGCATATCGGCAAGCGTTGTGGGAGTCAACTCACTTTCTGTATATCTCCCGCGAACATCGGAAGGAGTATCCAGAGCTGGCGCAATTTTGTCAGCAACGCAAGCAGCGTCGGTCGAGATCTGGACCCCTCTGGACGA